GTGTGTGTGTGTGTGTGTGTGTGTGTGTGTGTGTGTGTGTGTGTGTTTGTGCTGGGAGGGTTAACGTGGGAAACAAACAGTGACCTGTCTGAGAGAAATGAGTGAATAAATAAGAGAACGTGTGCGTTTCCATGTAAGTATAGGCGAATGTGTGTGAATGAGCCAGGACGACATGGGAAAGCTGTAGTAACCTGTGAATGAATGTGTGTGTGTGTGTGTGTGTGTGTGTGTAGCTGTAAGTGAGTGTGTGTGTTGACATGGGAACACAAGAGCAGGCATTTCACAGGGAAATGCTTCCTGTTTGCTTCCCCCTTTCTACCAATCACAGTTCACTTCCTGTCTGGGTGCCTTGCTAGTGCGTACCGTGGCTCCATTGTCCTCCCACCCCCTATACACACGCATTCACACAAATACACAAAACACCCGCATGTACACAAGCGCACATACTGACACGCCGCTGTTCTTTCTACGAATGTTTCTATTTCCCTGACGTTAATGGATTTGAGTTTGTCATGCTTAGTCACACTGCCTCAACAACACACAATACACTCAAAGTACACACCCCACTGCACACTGTGTTGTTCACATACATTTATACAGCTTCAGGCCCTCGGGGTGCAGGGGGGGGGGGCAGACCGGGTCACAAATGTCATGTGGTACACAAGGTCACACACGACATGCAACGCAGTATGGGAAATGTGCAGTGACCTGTTTGTGTCTATAGCTGCTATTGTCATTCAGTAATGTGCTGTTAGCTCTTACCATGCTTGGTTACATCAACATAAATTAATTTATTTTTTTCGTTGTGCTACACATTTCTTCTTGATAATTATTGGCCTTTTTATTTTTGTATTTCTAAACCTAAAGTAAGATAAGCTCTGAAAATCATCTCTGTGTTTCTCTGGCAGGTCTGTCACTCGGTGATGAGCAGGGGAGACAACCAATAGGGATTGTTCTTACTGTGCTGGGTGTGGTGGTGCTGGACTTTTGTGCGGATGCCACAGAGGGACCAATCAGAGCATACCTGTTAGACGTGGCAGACACAGAGGAGCAAGACATGGCACTGAATATCCACGCCGCCTCTGCAGGTACAGCTGATGATAAATACAGCGATAAAATATTTTCCGCCATTACTGCGAAAGAGCAGAATTCACCTGTCGCGTGTTTGTTGTGTGTGTTCTTGCCCTCAGGTTTAGGCGGCGCAGTCGGCTACGCGCTTGGAGGTTTGGACTGGACGCACACGTTCCTCGGAGCAGTCTTCAAGTCGCAGGAGCAGATCCTCTTCTTCTTTGCAGCCATCCTCTTCTCTGTCTCCGTCGTGCTGCATCTCTTAAGTATCGAGGAGCAGCAGTACTCGCCGCAACACGACAGGCTCGAGCAGGTACTGAACCGTGAAGTTCAGTTTTAGCAGAAATAGACTTTTTCAGTGACTTCACAGAAAACATCCTTTCACTGCTCTCTCGACAGGAAAGTCTGGATCCTGCCCACCTTCAAACATCGGCCAATGGCAGGGCTGGACTTCTCGGCGCCAAATTAGAAATGATCGGTGAGGATGATACGGTAGAGAGCTACGACCTCTATGACCCATACGAAGATGACCAGTCAGAGCATGGAGACATGGACTTCCTAGAGGTGGAGCTTGTGAGAAGTAAGTTCAGAAACTTCTGTTTTGTTTTTTTTTAAATTAGCAAAATCTATTTTAAATGGTTTTCAATTCAAATGATCAAAAAAAGATGGTCACTGTGCCAAGGGAATCCAAATAAACCCGAAGTTAGCAACATATGTATACTTTTTGGTGTTTGGTTTTTATGTTTCCTAGGCAAAAAGAGAGCAAAAGGAAGTTCAGGATCCGTGTGACCATATGTCACAAAGACTTTTATTTCCACTTATAAAAATGCTTCATTGCTCTTTCTCTCTTTTTTTTCAGTCATGACGGGGCAGCTGTAACTTCATCCCTTTTTCTCTGCCCTGTTTCTTTCGCTTTTCTCTAAATTTCTGACACCTAAACTGATCGCATCACCTCCCCCTCTTCTTTCTCCAGGTAAAAGCGACAGCGTCCTCGCCATGGCAGACGCAACCCTCGATCACCTTGACCACGATGCGATGTTCTTGTGCCACATAGAGCCTTCCATCTTCACCGATCACCTCTCGCCCTATCACGGCTCACCCTCCACGACCGCATCCTTCTTCAACCCCAATCGCAGCACCCCACCCCCCCGATTCGCCAGCATCAGACGCAGCAGCAGCACGGGAAGTCAAGACTTCCTCCGCCCCCAAAACAGCAGCAATCAAACGAATGTTACCACCCCCAGGATTTCCCGCCTCTCAGCTTTCCTGCAAGAAATGGAAAATGACGATGGGCAGGAGGCGCTGCTGAACAACCAGCTCAACGAGCAGCGGACGCTGAACGGGCGGCTGTTAGCCAGCGTTACTAATACTGACAGACTTGGCACTAACAGGCTGAGCTCCAAAGGACAGGCACACCGTGCTGGAATGGTCAAAGGTCAGCATCTTTACGTTATTATAGCCATGTTGTTGATATATGTTAACGCAGTAATATTTAGTTATACTGGGAAAGTCAAATTTGCTCATGTGAAATTGTTCTGATATAAACATCTTTAGTTTAGAAAAATAGCACAATAATGCTAAATCAGTTTCTTTAAATTTTAGCATGAAAGACCTGGATAATTTCCCTACAGTGTTATTATAGTAGTTATTAAAAGATGAACCCATTAACAAACTCTCTCTTCATCCAGCTGCCAGTACTGGAGCTCCTATGAGACAGTCACGCCACCGCCACACCTTCTACCGCCAGCCGTCCTGCACTTTTTCTTACTACGGCCGCGTGGGTAATCATCGTTACCGCTACCGCCGAGCCAATGCAGCTTTTCTCATCAAGCCGTCCCGCAGCATGAATGACCTGTACGAAGTGGAGGCCAGGCACAGGAGGAGGAACAGGCAGAGGAACAGACACCGCAGCGGGAACACCAACTCCTCCAGCGGGGACACGGAGAGTGAAGAGGGCGAGGTGTGTGGATGGAGGGGTGTGATGCTTAACGAGTCTGTATAGTTTGTCCTCGCTGGTAACCGTAATGTGTGATGTTTTATCTTCTCCCCTCAGGTTGAGACCACCGTGCGCCTGCTGTGGCTCTCCATGCTAAAGATGCCCCAGGAGCTGCTGCGGCTTTGTGCCTGTCACCTGCTCACCTGGTTCTCCATCATTGCAGAGGCGGTCTTCTTCACCGACTTCATGGGACAAGTCATCTACCACGGAGATCCTAAAGTATGAGAAACAGTCAAAAATGCACAGATATACATACATTCACTTCACCTCACTTTACTTTACCAACATAATCGTGTTTTTTTTAAATTATTTATCCTAAAAACATTTATCAATCTTCTTTCAGTTTGTCTTTTCTTTTTTTTTTAAACGCTTTGCACAGGCTTCTTTTCATTTCTCTGATTTTTGTCATTTATTTTGCTGCAGGAGGATAAAAAAAGAGCAAAACAGTCTCCATCTTACGTAAAAAGTGATGTAACTAAGCCCAGTTTTCTGTCTCACAGGCTCCTTCTAACTCGACCTTATTGGATAACTATCACAAAGGAGTTCAGATGGGATGCTGGGGCCTGGGTATATATGCCATGACTGCAGCTACATGTTCAGGTAGCCATGCGCAAGAGCACATGCTCACATCATTCAGTTTTCCTGGTTAGAAAGTGGATTTTCTTTTAATCATTTGAGTAAACAATCCACAAATCTCTCTTTTCTAGCTATTCTTCAAAAATATCTCGACAACTTTGACTTGAGCATTAAGGTTATCTACATCCTGGGTACACTTGGATTCTCCATAGGTATGAACTGCATTAATAGACCACAGTAGAGTAGAAAAGCACACTGGATAGTCAGTAGTGCCCTAATCTCCCTCTTTTTTGTGTTTTCCTTCATAGGAACTGCAGTCATGGCAATTTTCCCTAATGTGTACGTGGCCATGGTGATGATCAGCAGCATGGGCATCATCTCCATGAGTATCTCCTACTGTCCTTATGCTCTACTGGGACAATATCACGAAATGAAAGCGGTACAGATATATTCAATTAAAAAGGCTGAATGATCTAATATAGATATGAATCTACAAAGATATGAATTAATGCATAGTTAAAGAATAGCTAGTAATCTACTTTTTTTGTTAGAAGATAATTATCATGTCTTTTGGGACTAATAACTTTCTTTGCATTTTTCAGTATATCCAGCACAGTCCTGGCAACTCTCGCAGAGGCTTTGGCATCGACTGTGCCATCCTGTCCTGTCAGGTGAGCGTCGAATAAAGTTATTTAGTTCTGCCACTTACATTCATGTCATATATTGTATCGAGAAAACTGTGTTGTGATTCTTCAGGTGTACATCAGCCAGATATTGGTGGCCTCAGCTCTGGGTTCTGTAGTGGAAGCTGTTGGCAGCGTTCGTGTCATTCCCATGGTGGCCTCTGGGGGCTCCCTCCTTGGATTCTTTACTGCCTGCTTCCTGGTTATTTATCCAACTCCAAACAACGGGTGAGAAAACTACACGTTCTTAGCCATAAAGCAATACACACACAAACTAAGAAATAGGCCTCTACTGAGGTTTTGCAGTCAGATGATCACTAACATGACATTAACTTGCTTGCCATTTTGGAAGTGGGACAATGTAGGTTAAACCACATAAGGAACCAGTCACCTAGACTTAGGGACCTGTCCTCAACCATCTGGCTATCAAAGGTTGCTAGGAAAAAACTGCTCAGGGTTGATGACAGTTGCTGTGAAACATAGCCCCAGTCACACAGGCCTACTCCAACTAGACTCCAACTACTCCATGAAAATGTGACGACTGCAGTGCTAATGCACAACTTTTACTTTGAAAGTGAACCTTTTCAAGTTTACTACCATATGGTGAGTTGTTAGTGAGTATTTGCAGATGGATTGCTGTGCTCCATGGAAAATACTATTAACTGTTGCAGCCTGCCAGCAGTTAAAGCCATTACAAGGAAGTTTTCGATGTAGCACCTACTTTGGGACCAGTTTCAACTAGCAGCAGCCAGCAACCTACAGCAACCACTTGCTCATCAGTTGAGGAAAACACATTTCTTCCTAGCAACCTCACATCTAGTGTGGCAGCAAATTCTCAGGCAATTTGTGCATGACATCATACAAGAAACTTCTATAGATAAAGGCCTAAATATGGTACTCATGCCTGCGCTTTAAGTTAGCTTAACGTTGAGACTGTTTCATTTGACATACTTAATCTGTAGCTGTTTTTAAGCCCATTGTGAAGTCCTAACAAATTTTATTTCAATTGGCAGGGACGGGGAATCAGCCAAAGCTTCAGAGAAACGGATTTTGCCATCGCTGGAAAATCCCAATAGCGGCGAAGGGGCTGTTACCGTAGTGATTGAGAAACCCAGCTTCCTGAAACTCAACAAGGAGGGGAAGGCCACCAGCACTACTGCTTCCTGTCAGGTGGAAAATGAGTCTGCTCTGTGATTGGTTGACTGCGCCGACAGACACTTTGCTGCAGAAACAACTTGATTTGTTATTGCTGATGGAAAAGACTCGAAGGTGTGCCTTGATGTGGATTTGCTTTGGTCCACTCTTGGCGTTTGTTCTGGCTTTAAAAGGGTTTTTATTTTTAATTTTTAATGTCACACTGAAGAAAACATCACAGTCTACCATGGGACCAGCGTCACATTAGACCAACTTACCCAACAAAAGTCATTCTGGTCCCAGTGCCGCTTCAGCTGTTGACGAAGTTCCTTCCACTTATCCCTTACGGACTTTTGATCAATCCGTCAGGGTCGTCCAGGATTGAGTAATTAATTGGCCGTCGTTTTAAGGAGAGGTTGTCTCCTGTCTCTCAGGGCCTCTAGGAGGTGCTACTGAGCAGCCACCTGGACAGGAAACTTCAGGGGACTCACATACATACTCATTCAAACCCTCACACGCTCACATTTCCTCATCTAAGTTCAACACAATCGAATGAACACCCTAATAATGAACTCTATCGATGAACATTAGTCCTTGAAGCTGCAATCATTACAAAATGCTGAAAATCGTTCTTCCGCACTGTGGAGTCAGGTTGATTGAGTTTTTGCTTCGTGATGTGGACGCTGATTTACGAGAATGTGTGTGTCTGCTGACTTAAAACACCAAAACAACCCCAACAACACAGTCGGCTTTGCGGGACATTGCAGCGACACTAGCTTTAAGACTCTAAAGACTTTTGGAAGTGGCATTTTTTGAAATCGCAAGCCCGAAGCCTGGTTCCTGGGGAATTGATTGACCATGAAATTGATGCTGTTGCCCTCTTTCATATGGCAGGACTGACAAAATCTTTAATTCAGCCTTCAACGCGGGGGAAAGAGGACAATAATCCAGAGGATCTGCTCAGAAATATTGAGCATGAGAATAAAGTCGCATGTATATCGAACGATAAAACGACAGTCAAAACATACGCATGTTTACCGGGTGAAATTCGACAAGCGTGAAAGTAAGAGCCTAGATGCAGTGTGTGCAGTATATGGGGCATTACAATCAAATATTGTTTTCAAGATTTAGTGAGGAACCACAGTGATGTTTCTGTTTGTTTTGACTAATCAAACTAACCTATGCTGCATGTTAGACTAGCTGAGGAGCGACAAACCAAACACCAGAGAGGAAAAGAAAAAGGAAACAGAGTTGTTCTCCTTTTCTTTACTTTTTCGCTTATTTTTTTGTTTGTTTGTTTTAAAAAAGATACTGTCAGCATAAAGTTTCCCACTCACTGCACATTGTTGGAAAAGAAATGTCACAAGGTTCACATCACCAAAAGAAGAACAGAGTAGATTCTATATTTTTCAAAGCAGACCCGGACCCGGTTTTAAGCTCTGTAACTTTCACAGAACAAAAGATAGCACCAAGAATTTAGAGTTTCACTAATTTTGATTGAAGTGTTGTGACATTTATTTTACAATACAGTCAAAAGGCTTTGGGAAAAATGGTTAAATCTGCTACGGTAGCCACAGCAAAGGAAGCAAAACTGCCGAGTTTAGCAATCCTTAAAGCCGGGATAGATACGAAGACCTTGATGACTGAGTGTGCGATGACGTTAAAAGATCTTAATCTTCTGAATGTTTCTTTAGCTGATTATGCTGGACATGTAAAAAGTCATTTTAAAGTGTTGTGTTGTTTGTGCCCCGATAAATCAGGCCTTTAGTTGCAATAAGGACCCTTGTTGATCAGAGTACTGTGCAGAGCTTGTGCAGGCTGAGCAGGGTTGTTGTTGGTGGTGCATATTTTGGGGTCAGTTTTCCTTTCATTTCAATCAGCTGAAGCAAGCAGCTTGAAGGGAAACAAAATGTAAATTGCAGTGGGGGTGATGACTAAATAGAAAGAACTGTTTGTATGTATGAACGTATGTAAAGCATTTAGTGGAAAAGGTGTTTTTATTTTGGGTTTTTTTTTCAACTTGAGCGACTTTAGAAGAGAATTCAGAGGATGGTTTTTTTGGAGGGGGGATGTGTTTGTGATTTTTCACTCATGTGCAAAGTTGAACATTTTCTTCTAATACTAATTCGATTCCTTCCATACTTTCAGGTACATTGAATCAGAGAGTAAGATAAAACGTTGCTAAGATTGGATGTTTTAAAAAACGGCCCCCTGCAGCCATTAGCGCAATAAAATATTCTGAATAAACATAAAAAAAGAATTAAAAAAATCAACTTTGGGGTTATGGAGCTTTGCATGCGACGACAACGATATGCATGTTCAGAACACCAAAGTATGACTGTACAAATCACTCGAGCTCTTTTCTTTAATCGTAATAGGTCAGGGATGTATTTTCTAATGCACGGCTGGATGTTTGTGTCTTTTTGTTTTCGTTTGAACTTAAACGTGTTAAAAAAAAAGAATTAAACGCAACATGTACTTTTTAAGCTGAAGCATTGTGCTTGGTCTGGGTCAGTACACTCCTAACAGGTGAGCGAGTTTTAAACATCCACTTTATCACTTTTCAAGCTGGAAAGTGAAGAAATGTGTTACAGGATGAGACGTCCTTCATTACAAGTGTAGGTTAGAGACTCCTGGCCGTGAATACTTGAAGTGCAACTAGAGTGTTTCTGTTCCAATGCAGTGAGGAAGTAGTTGATTTTATGGGGAAGTGGGGGGGTTGTTGTTCCAATGATGTCCCAAGCCTTTTATCACAGACTCTGGAATGTTCCGGCGACTCGGTTCAGCTCAGCCGCTTCGCTTGGCCTGCTGGGAGATTGAGTTCTTAACCTCTGATTCCATCTGGTGACTTAAAATGTTAATGTTTTTTTTGTTTGTCTGTTTGTTTTAAAGTCAACGAATGTGAGTTTTGTTTTTGGTTTTGATGTTTGACGATCCAGGGTGGGAGTCCTGACATTGCACAGAACTTGCACATAAGTAAAAAAAAAAAAATAAATAAACAAGTAGAACTTTATTGCAAAAGGAGGAAAAAAAACAAGTAACTGTGGATATTTATTTTTTGAGCTTTCTTGTCTATAAAGGACATTTAGTTTGCAAATGAGTAAATTAAAGCTATTCTATTTGCTGTTACAGGTGAACTGGACTTTGTGTGTGTGCGTGTGTGTGAGAGAGAGAGCATAGGTCCTCTCACAGCTGGCAAAGCAAAAAGACAGCAGTGTGTTAAAACTGTCATCTCAGTGTTCACTTTTTGGTCCTGGTTCTCTGTTCTGCAATCACCTGGTTTACACTTAGCTCTGGAATCGATGGTGATGATGCCTGAAGTCTTTTTTTTTTTGTCTCTGTTCTGTTGTTTTAATTCAACTAGAAACTTTTTTTTGTGTGTGTTGTGTTTTATTTGAATCCTAGGCAGAGCCACACACGTCAAATTTTGGCCTTTGTACATTTTCAGTGTTTGCTCTCCACCGTCCGCATCACTGAATGAATGTGGAGACGCGGTGATGCTGTTTCATATTTCCTGGCAGCAGCGTGACGGCCATGCAGTCAGTCCAGCCTCTGTGCATGCGTGTTTGTGTGTTTGTGGCTCTGCCTTTAGTAAACTGTGTGTTAATGACGGAGGAGAGCGATGCCTATATACTTTGATTTTCATAGAGATTAAATCAAGATGAATACTTAAAGAATGGGAAAGTAAATATACGCAGTGTACTATATATAATATGCCTTGTTATTTGGAAAAAAAAGATGTAAATATACATATTTCTCTTTTAGTTTCTTCTTTTTTGCTGCTATAAAAAAGATGATTATTTTTGTTAGTAGTGTTGTTTTCTATATAAAGTCTGTATATATATCTCTATGTTATGTAAATATGCTTGAGCCTTCATATGTAGGACTCTGGATGAACACTGTATGGAACGCACCTTAAACTCTGTTCAGAAGCAAACAACCAATGACGTTTTTCATCATTTGGCATTTTCACTCAGAATTCAAAATGTGACAAGAATCAATAATAAAGAAGGGTCTCACCATACAGGCAAAAAAAAAGAGAAAAAAAATCTGCTCTGGATGAAAATAAAAGTTCATTTGATCAAAAAAGATTTCTGCAACTGGGAGTGTCTCACTTCATAAAGACATAAATATACAGTGATAGCCACAAAATACATGTTTTTATATGCAATAATAATCAGAGAAACAAATTCATTTTAAAAATAGAACGTTTTTAATACTTAGAGGAAAATGCTTTGCAGTGCGTTTAACATGAGTTGAGAAAGATGCTCAGAAAGGTCTTGATCTTGAGTGTAGCTGTTAGTTTACTCTTATTAGTATTACATTGCAAAATTTTTTACCACACATGTAAATAATGAAATATTAAGGGATAACAGTGTCTAAAAAACATGTTAATAAAATGCACTAATGTCCTTCTGTATATTGTTACCTCACTTATTATCTTTAGGGAGTCTTAAGCTTTAAGCAGACTGGTTTTATCAGGCTTGATGCACATTTTCTTGCAAGTATACGAGCATCTTATTCCTTGGAAAGTAAGATTTCTGTAAAATATTAATTACATGTTAATTAGAGAATTTTCATTCTTTATTATAAAGATTTGGCAAGCATTTCCAAATCGTACTTTTTTTTTGTAAAGGAGGTATTTAGAGTATTTTTATCTGAAGAAATGATAAAACTCAATTGCACTTCAACAGAAACAGAAATCTGCACAACAACTAAGGGTGTAATTCCCCTGTAATCAAATGTAATTAATTAATTAACTTTTAAAAATTACAACTTTAAAAAATGTATTTGTATTTACATACAAATACAAATTTGAGTTGTGGATAAGTCATTTCGAATTGCGCCTAAATTCTGGGTATTTTACAGGAAAGGAGACACAAAGTACTTGAATTACTCACAGAATAATTTGTGTCTACTTAAAAGTTAGGCGCAAATCAAAATTACTGATACACTGTGTAAGATTACTTAGAAACCACTTAAATTTAATTACAGTAATTAATTGTTGCAAATAAAAATTCAAAAATAGAATGTGTTAAAATTCCCCTTAATTACATAGAAATTACACCCTTAGTTGTGAGCTGTAATATAAAGTGTTATTTAGTTTTTATACTAAAAAAATAAATAAATTGTGATCCATTGAAGCTAACGACCAGGTTTACTCCAAAGAAGCAAATATAAAAATAATTCTGTCTTTGTGACCTCGCTCGTGTTTTTGTTTGCTTGTTTTTTGTTGGAATGCATGTGACTGTTGGTGATGCAACCTGCTGGTCTGCAGTTTCAAGACATTTTTTCATGTGCCAAAAAAAATCTTTACTCAGCATCTTCAAAGCAGCTAATTTGGTTTCCCATGATGCATTGCGGTTAGACCGCTGAGAAGGAAGAGGAAAACTGGGAAAAACATTTTGTTGTGCAGAATCAGATTTCTAGCGCACACAAACGCACATGCACATGCACATGCACACACTCGGTCAAAGCTTTGGCTGTTTCCATGAAGAGAAGCCAGAGAAGGAACCTGAAACTGGTGTGTGTGTTTAACCCAGACTCATCATGTGGCAGCAGGGCCAGCTGATGGTAAGTATTTATGTGTGTGTGTGTGTGTGCACATTGGTATAAAGTTGCAAGCTAAGGTCATCGCAGTTAAGTAACGTGAACTGTGATGACCTGCTGCTTCTCTGGAAGGATGATGGAGGGAAATGCCGCTCAATTTAATGTCTCACATTCCTGCTATGACTGACACCTCATAGCTCGACTCTAATATCGTCAATGAAAACTAAACAAAGAGTTTTATGCACTTAATACACAAATCCACTGAAATCTTGTGTAGGAGAGTAGTCATAAATCGTTTTTTAATTTATAAATTAAATTCATAATTCACAATTTTTTTCACCCTGCTTTAGAACACACAGATATTTCAGTGGATAACAGCAGCAGCTATGAAATAACATAATCTGTTATTGGGTAATGTTATTTTTCATGAACAGCTCCACTGTTAATCAGTGCCAGTGTGATTGTTCTGGATGACATTCTTCCACCGCAGGGAGATGCTGTCCTCTGGTGGAGTACACCTAGTACCACGTTGGACCCCATTTCTGCCTTAATCCTTTGTAGCACAGATTCATCAAGTGCTGCAAACATTCCAGAGATTTTGGTGCATATTGACACGACAGCATCAAAGTTACTGCAGATTTGTTTGGCTGCAATCCATGATGTGAATCTCCTGTTCCACCGCATCCCTTTACCAGTGCTTTACCTGATTGAGACCTGATGAATGTGGAGGCCATCTGAGCACAGCAATCAGGTGATGGAGACACTGTGGTCATAAAGCAATAGAGATGATCATCAACAATACTCAGGTAGGCTCAAGTGTTTAACCAGGAGTTAAAAGAATGTACCTAATAAAGTTGCAGGTGACTATTTCTTTTGTTAACAACAGCTACAGCCAAAGAAACAGCACTTTAATTGCAAAAAGCACCACCATCTCTGCATTTTCTTTATATATATCATTTATTATACTAAACAAGATAAACAAGTCAGTAAAAATAGCACACACTGACTCAAAAACAAGCAATGCTGAGACAAACAAACAAGGAGAAGAAGAAGAAAATGAATTTATGATAAAGTAACTTTATGTTAGTACATAGTTTGATTGATGCATCCATTTCTTAAACATTTAACTTGCATCTACCAAGTCCTGAATTATGAGGAAGATGTGTGATCACAGCCTCTAAAGTGTAGCCTAAATTTAAATCCAGCAAATAACCTGATGTACTAGAAACAAAGCAGTGCTTTTGTTTTTCATCATTTCCTGTCTTTGTGATGCTGACATAAGTCCAATTAATCATTTTAAAATTATTAACAAGTCATTAAAAGAACATCACACTGTGTACCCCTAAATGTTTATACACACACATTTATCCTATTTATGTGTCTCGAGACTTCAACCCTCTGAAAGTCTCTTTTCTTTGCTCATAACTCTTTCTGTTATTCTTCATTTTAATGTTGCAAATGTCATTTTTGAAGGCTTTCAACATTCAGTGTGACTCAATACAGACATCTTGATGAATCAGAGTCAAATGCATCCTAAAAAATCAAAGCAGTTAAATAAATGGTCTACAAAAGTACACAAAAGGAGTATTTCCATTCTAAAGCGTATGACTTAGTCATGGTAGTTTACCTACTATACAACTGTTACTATACAACTTTTTGTTTTTATTTCTAATGGAAAAATTTTAGTTTAAAAAAAGAGCGAGAAAGGGAATAAAGGGACAGGTAAAGCCTTGTTTAACTCACATGTGCAGGAATTTACAAAGAGTGTTAAAGAAGTATCCAGACAGAACGATGACTAAATAAAAAGCTTGTTTGTGAATAAAATGGGTTTTTTTTTTTCCCCCTAGTCAATCTGAATTTTTACATCACAAACTTTGATGAGGTGCCTCTGGAACACAAGCCAAACATCAACTCCCCACATACATAGTTTTTTTTTCTGTGTGTAATCCAGCAGCTTTTGAAACTTGAAGCAGTGTAAGTTCATTGGTTTCACAGCAAAACAAAGTCGACATGTGTCACTGTCTCCAGCTGTCTCTCTGAACTGTGCCGTCACTGGTTTCTGAAACATGGCCGCCTGTCCAATCAGAGTGGTGTGCGCTGGTTGTAGAGAGGGGTGCGCTTGTGAGCGTTAGTGTGGCTATGCTCTGAGCTATCGCCAGTGCCGTACCCGAGCATTTATTCAGCGAATTCCTCTCCCCTTCGATGCCACTTGTAAACCCCACCTCCCCATCCTCCTCTCTGCCTCCCCTTCTCCTGGTCCTCCACATTCTCTTGAAGCTGTCCGTCACAAAGCAGTAAACCACTGGATCCAGGCAGCTGTTCAGGCTGCTCAAGGTCACGGTGATGTGATAGGCAAGCACATCCCTCGCCCCTTGCCCGGGAGCCTCCCCCGCCACTCTGAACTGGAAGTAAACCAGCACCTGGCGGACGTGGAAGGGTGTGAAACACACAGTGAAGACCACCAGGACAGTGGCCAAAAGCCTGATGGCACGAGTCCTCCTCACCCTGCTCTGGTGGGGCATCCCGCTGTGGGTGGAGGAGAGAAAACAGGTGACGCGCAGAGTGAAGACCACCACAGCGAGCAGGGGGAGGAGAAACTCCAGGATGGTGAGATAGAAGAGGGCAGGGAGGACCATGCAGGAGGAACTGAACTCCAAAGCTGTGGTCTAGAGAGAGAAGGAGAAAGAATTCTATCATGATTTAGCCTTTTAGCATTTTTAGCTTGTCTCAGCTTGACAGCCTTGTCAGCTCTTCTTTAGATCCTGACTGTTCTGTAAACCAAGACTCCTCCTACTTTTCTTGCAACCTCACGAAAATCATTATTTGATTAATTGACGGTCATCACTGATAAGTTTTAATACTCAGGATAATTTAAAATTGCCCCCCAACGAAATCTGTGTCATTAACCAATTCATAGACTAAATTATGAACTCAATTATTGCAATTAATTTATTTCTCTTTTTAGGTTTATTTTGTGGATTTATACACTGAGAGCTCATCTTGTGTGCGCTGTGTTTTTAGTGTGTCTCTTCACCTGAAAAGAGTAGGTGACCACGACTGCAATGAACCACACGGTGGCACTGACACACCTTGCCGCTCCTATGGTCCTCCATCGATGAAGGGTACTGGATGCGTGGACGACAGCGAGGTACCGATCGATACAGATGCTGAATAGAAAGCCATCAGTGAATATTGATAGAGGGGACATATTATTCAAATTTATTTTTTGATAAATTTGAATACTAGGCTTCTTTAAGGCTTCACTCCTTAAAACCCTGACTTTCTTCTGATTGGCTGCCCCTTGCCTGGCTTCCACAAACAAAAGCTTCTATCATCTCAGTCCAAGCCTGAGAGGACGGTATAAGGAAATCCATGCCAAAATGATATCACCTTGATACAAGAACTTCTGGAAATCAAGAAATTAGACCAGCCAGAAGCCAAACTCTTGGTCCACAGGGTTATCTGTGTGTGTTACCACATTGAATATGAGCATCCAACTAAAAGAATGCACATAACTAAAAATAATGAAAAGCATAACAGC